TGAAGGGGTTGGTACCTGCAAAAGGCACTCCAACGCTCAAGTCAGGACAAGCACGAATATCTAGGGTAATTAATGAACAGTGACGTTACCTTTTGTCCTGAGCTATTTATACTGACATTTATGGGACCTGGACCCCATGGGCCCTGCGACATATTTACCGTATTAGGTAATACACCTTAATCGACTAATTAACCTCTAATCTTTGATTAAGAGTACCAAATGATGGTAGGCCGATCCTGGTGGCCGATTGGCATTCGACTTCCTGGTTCTACCATTCGGCGGCCGATGGGGTGGTGGCCGAACCCCCCTACCTGTACACTGCCCCCCAGCCTTGAGGAAAGGTGAAACTTTCTTTAAGGGTAAAATGGAGACAGTTTCTAGGGTAAGGTGAACGGTTGCGTGCCTCTAACCGTTGGATTTCGGGGATCGAACAGTTACATTTTTTCAAAACTTGAATTTTTTTCCCGCCCGTTTTTTGAGCTTATAAATATCTGATTGGTAGGGCCATTCACACGTATTGCTCTAAACCGAATTGTGGTAGCAGAAGGTCTGAAGCCGATCCGACTAACGATTGTGGTTCTGTGAAGAAATTGGTAAGTTTTTATCGCTATGGTTAATACTTCTGATAGTTCTTCGGCCAGTAGCTCTCGGTCATCGTCGTCGGAGGGGGCCTCGTCCGGTAGTTCGAGCTTTTCTAGTGTGGTTCGGTCTTCAGATCATGCCGAAAGGCCGAATGAGACTACTTCGGAGGAAACTTCTACTAGCGGGGTTGCCGAGGTACAGGGGAAGTTGAAACACGTGTCGAATCGGCAACGGTATGGTCCTTCCGAGGTGCTTGGCTACGAGTGGGTGAACGGGGAGGTGACCTCCTACTATTCACGGTACCAAGACACAAGCATGATCACCAACCTTCTAGATTATACAAATTGCTTAACTTTTAATGCTAAGGAGAATCCGTACCCGATCGGTATTCGGTCGTGCCGAAACAATGCCTTTCCAAACCCTGATACCGTTTGTCTTGATCAAAGTGGGGCAAAAATGGAATCGTTTTACATATATGATTGTCTCCTTCGGGATCTCAAAGTAAAACTACCTTTTGATGAGTTTACTATGGGAGTGTTGAGGGTTCTCAATGTTGCCCCAACCCAATTACATCCGAACAGCTGGGCTCAACTGCAGGGTTTCAAGCACTTGTGCCGATGTATTCACATTAGGCCTTCCCCACTGCTCTTTCTTTACTTCTACTCGTCCAGACCCTCCATATTGGCCAAGTGGTTGTCATTGAGCCGAGTAGGGGAAAGACAATTGTTGGATAGCTTTACATCTTCCTATAAGAATTTCAAAGCGGGATTTTTTCGAGTGACCATTCGTCCGAATGGGAGACGTTTCTTTTTTGGTGAGGATAACAGAAGCTTGTTTCCTCTATACTGGACACGTGCCCCTCGGCCATACGATGTAGTACCGAAGAGTCTTCTTTCGGCTGAAGAACGGAAAGATTTAAAATTGTTACTCCGGCTTCCTCGGCGCTTGCCGACCCGATCTCTAATTAACTTGGTTGAGTCTCCCCTATGGGAGAACGACCTGATAGGTACGTTATCCGTCCTATTTCGGCTATTGGCTAAATTCCTATTGATGTTTACTTTATCTTTTTGCAGGAATTATGGTGTCCAGTGGAGCTGACGAACTTAACATCCGTAACTTGTTGGCCGCTCGAGTGAAGCAGGTAAAGCAAGTCGGGGGTGTTGGTACTTCGACTGTTACGCGCACTCCCCAACGTGAGCAAGATAACCGAGAGCTTTCTTCGCCCGAACGAAAAAAGAAGAAGGGGAGGAAGGGGAAAGAGGTTGATCGGGAGTGAACGAAGAGGAAGGGTTCTGAAGAACAATCAGGGAATCCGAAGAAGGCTAAATCGGTGCCCGAGGCGTCACCCAATCGGACCGTGATTGTTGTGCCGCCCCAACTAATGTCTCGGGCTTTTCTGAGTGATGATGTATCAGCCGATACCCTGATTCGGTCCGATGCAGTGTCACCGTTCAGGCAGGAGTTCTTGGCCAGCTTGGAGACGAGAACCAAGTGGAGACTTTTCTGTGAGATGCAAGCGCGTTCGTTGGCCTTGGCTCATCACCTAGCCATGGAGCCTGTCGGCGAGGTGATGCATTTGAAACAAAGTCTCGAAGAGGTCGAGAAGGCCACAGCCGAAGCTATTTCGGTCACCGAACAAGCAATAGCCAGAAATCGCGAGTTGGCTGCCGAGATGGATTCTGTTAGGCGGGAGAATGACACTCTTCGCCTGGATCTACAAAAGGCAATCAATGAAGAGCGCCGCCGAGCAGAGATCGCCCAAGCTGAATACAACCGCCTGAAAGAGCAGGCTAAGGAGAAGATCGTCGCTCAGCACGAGGCTGGATTTAAACATGCTGTTCGGCAGGCAAAGCACTTCGGCCAATTCCCGGAGGACTTTGAATTCGACATGACCCAGGATTTTTATAAAGGGTCATTTATGTCCTTTGCTGTGATGCCCGAGGGGGCGAACCCTGATGACTCGGAGCCGGGAGCTGCCCCCCAACCGGAAGGAGATGCTGACGCCTCGTCTGGTGAAGAAGAAGATGAAGAACATGTCAATCCCGAGCCATAAGGGGAAACTGAGACTCATGCTCAGGATGACACGGTCAGAAATTCGGAGGAGTAGTGTTGATATTTTACCAAGGTTTTTTGTAACAAGGGGAGCCGATAGAGCCTCTGTTTTTTTAATTTTGTAGCAAGGGGGCCGATAGAGCCTCCACTTTTGAATGAAAAGGCACTTTCGACTGAATCATGGTATATTTTTGAATCAATGCTAATTCGGATCGTCTCTCTTAACTTAAAAACTTAAAACGAATTTATTCCAAGAATGTTTTGTATAAACTGTTCCGAAAGAATTGTCGAAAACCGAGGGGAGGTTACTCGGAAATGCTTTGATTTCCTAGCAAAACCGAGTAGAGGTCATTCGGAAATGCTTGTAGCAAAACCGAGTGGAGGTCACTCGGAAATGCTTTTTCTTAGCAAAACCGAGTGGAGGTTACTCGGAAATGCTTTGATTTCTTAGCAAAACCGAGTGGGGGTCACTCGGGAATGCTTGTCATTCTAGCAAAACCGAGTGGAGGTTGTTCGGAAACGTCTTGATTTCCTAACAAAACCGAGTGAGGGTCACTCGGGAATGCTTGTCATTCTTAGCAAAACCGAGTGGAGGTTACTCGGAAATGCTTTGATTTCTTAGCAAAACCGAGTGGGGGTCACTCGGGAATGCTTGTCATTCTAGCAAAACCGAGTGGAGGTTGTTCGGAAACATCTTGATTTCCTAGCAAAACCGAGTGGGGGTCACTCGGGAATGCTTGTCATTCTTAGCAAAACCGAGTGGAGGTTACTCAAAAATGCTTTGATTTCTTAGCAAAACCGAGTGGGGGTCACTCGGGAATGCTTGTCATTCTAGCAAAACCGAGTGGAGGTTGTTCAGAAACGTCTTGATTTCCTAGCAAAATCGAGTGGGGGTCACTCGGGAATGCTTGCCATTCTGGAAAAACCGAATGGAGGTTACTCGGAAATGCTTTGATTTCTTAGCAAAATCGAGTGGAGATTGTTCGGAAACGTCTTGATTTCCTAGCAAAACCGAGTGGGGGGTCACTCGGGAATGCTTTGGCATTCTGGCAAAACCGAATGGAGGTTACTCGGAAATGCCTTGATTTCTTAGCAAAACCGAGAGGAGATTACTCGAAAATGCTTTGATTTCTTCGTTGGCCGAGTTAAGCAATTCGATAGAGAATCCTTTTTGACAACTTGAAGGTACGTCCTTGGCCGAGCTGATTACATCGGGAGGGAAACCTTTTAAATGATTGCGAAGGTACATCCTTTGCCGAGTTGATCAACTCGGGAGGGAAACCTTTATGATAAGGTACATCCTTGGCCGAGTTGATTAACTCGGGAGGGAAACCTCTTTTATTGATTGTGAAGGTACATCCTTAGCCGAGTTGACCAACTCGGGAGGGAAACATTTTTTGATGATTGTGAAGGTACACCCTTAGCCGAGTTGACCAACTCGGGAGGGAAACCTTTTTTGATGATTGTGAAGGTACATCCTTAGCCGAGCTGATCAACTCGGGAGGGAAACCTTTTTATATTTTGGAACAAGTAGAAGAGTAAGAATAACCATGACATGAATTGTCTTTCATTGATGTGTGTGCCTCGTAAAAACTTTGTCGGCCAAAACCCCTTTTCACTTTTTTAGAAGGGGAGAAAAGACCGATCAAGGAAAAGAGTGCACTTTGGAATTACATTGTCATTATATTACAACATCAACTATAGTATGTTTTCAAATGCGACGCGTTCCACGTTCTTGGGATGATCTTGCCCGAGAGCTCTTTAAGCTTATCTGCTCCATTGTCGAGGCTGTGTCGGACTCGAAATGGGCCATCCCAATTTGCCGCCAGCTTGCCTTCTCGCGGATTGCGTCTTGCCGACCCTTGTACTCGCCACACTAAATCTCCCTCCTTGAAGCTTCTCTTAGCGAGATTAGAATTGAACCTTCGAGTCATCCTCTACTTACACGCTTCGGCCACGATCTGAGCCTTAGCACGTACCTCGTCGACTAAATCAATGTCCACCTGAATGCGCCTACTTCGACAGGTATCATTGCATCAACACCATATGTCAATCGGAAGGGGGTCTCCTGGGTGGTGGATTGAGGGGTACAACGATACGCCCATAACACTTCCAAAAGCTCTTCGGCCCATGTGCCCTTGGCTGTCCCTAGGCGCTTCTTTAGTTCCGAGAGGATGACCTTGTTGGCCGCTTCGGCTTGGCCATTTGACTGTGGGTGCTCAACTGATGTGAATCGGTGTTTGATCCCCAAGTCCTGAAGGAACTTATTGAACTTCTGATCTACGAACTGAAGTCCGTTATTTGTGATGATGGCATGTGGGATACCGAATCGTGTGATGACACTCTTCTAGAGGAACTTCTGCACATTGTTTGCCGTGATTGTTGCGAGAGGTTCAACCTCAATCCACTTAGTAAAATAATCCACCGCGACCAGCAAGAACTTGCATTGCCCTTTAGCGAGTGGAAACGGTCCTAATATATCCATTCCCCATATGGAAAACGGCCATGGGGAAGTGATGCTGTGAAGCTGCTCGGCTGATGCATGTATCAAATTGCCATGCTTTTGGCATTGGATGCATTTTTTGACGAGTTCCATGCAATCAGATTTGAGTGTCGGCTAATAATAGCCGGCCCGAAGGACCTTTGTTGCTAAAGTTCTCCCTCCCGAATGAGAGCCGCAGATTCCTTCATGCACTTCCCGCAACACATAATTAGCCTCTTCATTGTTTAAACACTTGAGTAAAGGAGACGAGAAACCTCTTCGAAAATGCTCCCCTCCTATAACAGAATATCTCGCAGCTTGGGTTCTTAACTTTTTGGCTGCCAAAGGACATGTCGGCACGACTCCTTCAGTGATGAATCGTAGTATGTCGGTCATCCATGTTGCCGACTGCTCGGAGACTGATAAGCATTCAACTACCTCAATGCTTGGGGTTGAGAGTTCCAAATGGAGGGTGGTTCGAAGCTGTCCTGGTTTCCGATTGCTGGTTGCCAGTCTAGCTAGCTGATCTGCCCTGTCATTATGTTCGCGGGGAGTGTGCTTCACCGATACTTGGTCAAAATGTTGGCACATGTTTTGAAAAGTATGATAGTATTTTAACAGTTGGGCATCCTTAACCTGAAAATTCTCGTTGACCTGCTCCGAAACAACTTTTGAATCAGTCCAACATAGCAAATTCTGAACGCCAACTTCCCGAGCCAGCCTCAATCCCACCAGTAATGCCTCGTATTCGGCTTGATTATTTGAGGCTTTGAAAGCGAAACGAAGGGATTGCTCAAGTGCCAAGCCTGTTGGTCCTTCGAGAATTATTCCCGCCCCACTTCCTTGGTTATTAGACGAACCGTCAACACGAAGTACCCATTGATCATTCTCAAAATGGCCCATCGGTTGCAACTCATTGACGAAGTCGACTAGGCACTGAGATTTGATCGGTCCTCTTGGTTCAAACGCTATGTCAAATTCAGATAACTCTACAGACCAGGCCATCATTCGTCCTGCTAGCTCGGGTTTTCGTAGGACCTTGGCAATGGGACAATCAGTCCGAACGATAACCTTATGGCTGTGAAAATACTGCCGAAGACGTCGTGCTGTGTGGACCAAGCCGAGTGCCATCTTCTCGAGTAGTTGGTATCTTTTTTCGGCATCTTGTAGCATTCGACTCACGAAATATACCGGCTTCTGAGATTCTTTTTCTTGCACGAGGACGGCGCTGATTGCCTCATTGGAAACACACAAATACACTATCATGTTGAGGCTTGGATCGGGTTTTGAAAGTATCGGGGGTGTGCCGAGTCGATGTTTGAGAATTTTGAATGATTCTTCACATTCTGCAGTCCAAGTGAACTTATTGGCCTTTTTTAACAACCCGAGGATGGGCTTAGCCATTTCAGCTAGGCAGGGAAGGAACCGAGAAAGAGACGTGAGTCGTCCGGATAACACTTGAACTTCTTTAATATTATGCGGGCTTCGCATGCCGATGACCGATTGACATTTATTCGGGTTAGCTTCAATACCTCTGGCAGATAGCATGAATCCAAGAAATTTACCCCCCCGCTATACCGAAGACACATTTTTCAGGGTTCAGTCTCATGTCATGCTTTCGGACTTGCTTGAAAACTTCTTCAAGATCACTTTGGTGGGTGCCGAGGTCATCTGATTTGACAACCATATCATCAACATAAACTTCCAAGTTTCGGCCGATCTGATGTCTAAAAATTTTGTCCATAAGTTGTTGGTATGTTGCTCCTGCATTTTTTAGGCCGAAGGGCATGACTCGGTAGCAGTAGTTGGCCGAGTCCGTGATGAAAGTTGTTTTCTCTTCGTCCTACGGGTGCATGCGTATTTGATTGTAGCCCGAGTAAGCATCCAAGAAAGTCAATAAACGATTACCAAACGCCCCATCAACCAAGCGATCAATATTAGGTAGTGGATAGGCATCTTTCGGGCATGCCTTGTTGAGATTGGTATAATTTGTGCACATTCGCCATTTGCCGCTTGGCTTTTTAACCATGACTACATTGGCTAGCCATGTGGTGTACTGTACTTCCCTAATGAAGCGGGCTTGCAATAACATGGCTACTTCTAACTCAACAGCAGCTTTTCTCTCCGATCCCATTTTCCTTTTTCTTTGTGCCACGGGTTTAGCGGCCGAGCAGATCGATAGCCTGTGACACATAAAGCTCGGATCTATTCCAGGCATGTCGGACGGAGTCCAGGCAAACAAGTCTTTGTTCGAGGCAATTACTTTACTCAATTCAAGTCTTTCGGTGTCTGACAAACCACTGCCGATGTAGGTGACTTGAGATGCCTGTTTTCCGATTTGTATTGGGATCTTTTCTTCCACCGGTTCTGCCCTTTCATCATTCATTCGTGGATCGAGGTCACATAGTGAAGCTGATTCTGGAGAAGGGGTGCTCGCATGAACCCTCCTTGATTGTGCTGATTTTTCGTGAACAGGTGGTACGCGCAAGCTGGCAAAGTAACACTACCGAGCTGCCTTTTGATCGGCGTGTATGGTGAGAATGTTTCCTTTGGCCGATGGGAACTTCATAGCCAGATGCGGGGTTGAAACAATTGCCCCCAGGGCGTTCAATGATGGCCGACCAAGTAATATGTTATAAGATGTGTTGGCTTGGACGACGATATATTTCACCTGGATATCTCGGTGCTCCCTTTCGTCGAAACAAAACCGAGTAGAGAGTTTAATGAATCCCTTGGTGTTGACCCTTTCCCCTGCAAAACGAGCCAGCGGCTCATTGTAGGGGGTTAGCTCTTCTTCGGGGATACCGAGCTGTACAAAAGTGTTCCAATATAGAATATCAGCCGAACTGCCCTGATCAATTAGTGTCTTCTTCACAATACAATTGCGTATTTCTACGCTGATGAGCATAGGATCATCCTGAACTGGATCAATGCCCTTAAAATCCTCATCAGTGAATGTGATGGTGGGCAATCGCCGAGTCACCCGCTGCTCAAGAGCATTCACCGATCGAACAACTCGCAAATGTCGTTTTTGAGCCGATGATGTCGACCCGCCACCGGAAAAACCCCCGGCAATCATGTTGATAACCCGGCGATGCGTTGTATGAGGGTCCTCTTTCCGATCCCTTGATCGGCTGCGCTCGCGGCGATGCCTATCTGAGCGGTCAGACCTGTCTTGCTGCCGAGGTTGGTATGTTGACTGATGGCGAGATGAGTTTGGCCAATCCACGAAATTTCTGAGTTGCCCTTGTTTGATCAAATCTTCAATTTTATCTCTCAACGCCGCGCACTCTTCGGTCGAATGTCTGTGATTGCGGTGATACTTGCAAGATTTGCTGACATTAGCGCGGGGTGGTGTTGAGGCTCTTTTTGGGACTGCTAATACTTCTGAGGCGAGTGCTTGTTCAAGCACAACGGCTCGGCTTGCATTGAGTGGTGTGTAATGGGAGTACTTCAGACCTTGCGTAGGTCGATCACGTAAGGTTAACTCTTTGCCTCGCCCCTTGTATAGTTGTTCTGGTTGCTTCTCAGGTTTTCCACACTGTTCGGCTCGGGCCTGATTGCGATACTCTGCCAATTCTTCCATCTGCATGTATTTATCTGCCCGCCTTCGTAGGTCATTCATGTCCGAAGGAGGTTTCTTGCAGATGCTATTAACAAATGGTCCAGGTTTCAAAGCTGTTGTGAGATGGTGGAGCGCTACAGCCGGATTAAGATCTCGGATCTCCAAGGTAGCCTTGTTGAACCGATCCATGAAAGTTCGAAGCGACTCCTTCTTGTCTTGCCGAAGGCTAACCAGCGACAAGGACGTCAAACTGTGAGGGCAACTTGTTGGAAACTGAATATTAAAGTGGGACGACAAAGTGTTTAACGAGTCAATGGAATTGGGGGGGAGCCGAGTGAACCAACTCAAGGCCCTGCCCTTGAGGGATGTTGGAAAAATCCGACACAACGCGGCATCACCCGTGGTGCTCAAAGTTACCTGCGTCAAGAAAACATCCAAATGTTCATCAGGTCTGTTGTACCATCATATTTGTCAATAGGCAGAGATTTCCAATTGTCCATTAAGGGGAGTTGCATAATAGAGAGGGTGAAAGGATGTCGGTGCGATCCGATAGTTGCCACATCTGCAAGACGACCAACTGTGGGGAGGGCCGAAGGGAACTTCTCAGGTGCTGCTGCCGAAGCATGGGGAACCGAGGTGTGGATCGCCTGGGACTGATAAGACCCTTGAGTTTGCGAGTTTGCCGCTTGAGAGGGTTTCCATGACATATTATCCTTTTTTAAGTTCTCGTTCTCGACTTTCAAGGCCGCAAGTTTCCTTGCATCTTTTTCTCGTTGCTGTTTCATGATCTCCATTTCCTGTTTTAGCACCCGAACAACTTCAGAAAGATCCGTTTCGTCAACAACCTCAACATGTTCTTCATTCTCGTGTTGGTGGTCCTGCGTATTTGTTCTCCTAGTTATCGCCATGACTTAATCCAATTAATCTTCGAACTCTCCGTTCGGCCCCACGGTGGGCGCCAAATGTACCTGTCTGATGGGCACACTAAGTCTTCTAGTAGTCCAAAGGCCGAACGAGAACTCTGCTCCGACATGTGGATGAAGGGGTTGGTACCTGCAAAAGGCACTCCAACGCTCAAGTCAGGACAAGCACGAATATCTAGGGTAATTAATGAACAGTGACGTTACCTTTTGTCCTGAGCTATTTATACTGACATTTATGGGCCCTGGACCCCATGGGCCCTGCGACATATTTACCGTATTAGGTAATACACCTTAATCGACTAATTAACCTCTAATCTTTGATTAAGAGTACCAAATGATGGTAGGCCGATTCTAGTGGCCGATTGGCATTCGGCTTCCTGGTTCTGCCATTCGGCAGCCGATGGGGTGGTGGTCGAACCCCCCTACCTGTACAATAACCAAAGTTAATATAAGACCAAAACTTTTGAAAGGTTCCTGCACATGTATTCGACGTGATTGTTTCCTATATATATATATCACGTTTGATCTCCTATATATCACGTCACGTCTAATATATATATATATATATATATATATATATTAATTATAGACGTGAGATTAATACATGTATAAGGAACTTTTGAAATAATTTAAGATTCTAATTTTTAGGTATGTATGTTGTATTTATTAACTCTCCCAGATATTGAGTTTCTAGAGTTTATTTAATCTGATTTAAAATCATACAATTATTAACTTTGCAAGACTAATACATACTGGAGAAAAAGAAGATGACGAACCCTACATTAAAGCTTCTGAAGCTCAAAATGGTTTATTATGTGGATGATGAAAAGGAACGAGGTTGGAGCATACCAGTTCATTTGAAGCTAAGAGACTTTTATGACATGGGTGGAGACGATAAAGAAATTATGGCATCCATTGAGGCATACCCATCACAGAACTTGGAACAAATTTTTTTCTGATGATACCACACATGTACAATTAGCAAGAATGATGATAGATGATGATCCTGAAACTCCTACCATTACTGATAATTTTGATGAGGATAATCAAGATATTTAGTTTTATGATAATCATAAGTAAGCAATCTCTTAGTTTGTCTTCTTGTTATTTTTAAATTTAATAGCAACAAATCGTTGTGTTTATAACATGTGATTAACAATGGATTTTTCAATATTACTCTTTGTTTTCTACACTTATCTTGATTTGTCTATTTATGAATTATATACCTATATTGTTATATGTTTAACTTCTGATTATAATTATTAAACTTAACATTATGGTTTGTACAGGTATGCCTCGTACAAGAAGACATATTGTAACTAGGTGTCAATCCACACCAAATGAACAAAACAAATCTTCTATGGGCACTTTTCAAGGTGAAGAGGTTCATCTACCTCAAAGTGTGCCCATTGCACACGTTGGATCAAATTCTCAAGATGAGATACATGCAGTTTCAGTTACTCAATCCGAATCTAGGTTACCACACCTTGAACCTAATTTGGGTGAAGATTCATCTACAACTCAGAAAAAATCCCCTACCTATTGGAATGTTGATGTTATTAGTATGTCTAATTTAATTTTAGTTTCTCTCTATTATTTTGTGTTGCCTAACTTATTGGGTTACTTATGTTTTGTTTACTTTTATGTTAGATGAAGGGGGTGTTGTTAGTCATACACGTTTAAGGGTGCAGGACGTGTTTGCTACACGTGATGCCACTAGGGTATGTACCAAGTGGAATGTTGAAGGTCAACCAGTAGGAGAGTCAGCTGGTTTATTAGCAGGGTTTTTAGGTGAAATTGCAAGCAACTTCAACAATTTCCCCATAATGTACGAGACTTGGAAAAAAGTTCCAAACGATTACAAGAATAATGTTTACAAAGAGACTATAAAGGTATCAATTATAACTAACTAAACATACTTGATTTCTAGTGGAATCTATTAGCTTACTAATGATAACTTTCATTATGTTGTGTTGAAGGCAAAATTTGATGTTAATGATCAAGAACATAAGAAATTTATCTTCTCCAGTTTGGGGAAGAAATGGAAGGACACTCGGAGTAGGATGTTTCATAAAAATTATAATTGGGAAATTTCTGTGGAAGAAAACTGTAGGAAGCACCCACCAGACATTGACCCAGACCATTGGAGGCTTTTTGTACAATTTAGAACAAGCTCTAAACAAATGGTAATATGCTTTCATTCCATTGATTATAAGGTTGGTTACATTTATTGACACTTAGGTGTGTTAATAATGCAGGAGATATCAGATAAAAATGTAGCAAATCGTGAAAAGTTGTTGATCCCACATACTTTAGGATCAAAGACACTAGCTAGAAAAAGGGATGAGATGGTATATATATAAACTTCATTAATTCTATTTGTTATAAAAAAATAATAAAATAAATTGTATAATTATTTGTTATGTGATGCAAAACCTCAAGAATCACAAAATGGACGACATTATAGTAGAGGAGATATGTATCCAATTGCTCATTAAAAAAAAAGATGGATCCTTTGTGACTGAAGATGCTAAAGAAAAATGTGTAAGTATAGTATATTATTTATAACTTCACTCATACAACTAATCTTTGAATACTTATGTACGTGTTTAACATTATATGTAGGAACAATTGCATAAAGAAATTCAAGAAACTTCTTCTAAGAATGAGGCCTTCTTAAAGGTGTTTGGAAAGGAGCATCCTGGATATGTTAGAGGCATGGGACTTGGAGTTACACCAACTCAGATCATTGGATCATGCTCTTCTTCTATGAGATCTGGATCTCCTTCAGATGCAGCCACAATAGCACGATTGCAAGCTGAAATTGAAATGCTTAAGACACGAGTTGGTGAAGTTGATGTTTTAAAGGAGCAATTGGCTTTCCTTATGCAAACTATTAAAGGAAATCAGGTATTGAGATAAGTCTTTATAAAACAATAACTTAATTATACAATTAGTTGTTATACTCTAACTTGTGTGTTTTATTTTTCTAATTTTAGGTGGTGGACTTGGAATCACCAAGAGATTTGAGGCGATCTTCCCAATCTAGTCATGTGCCTGAAGACAATGGAGGATCATCCCATGGGACTATTTAGATATTTGTTCAAGTTTTAGTTTGTTAGAAGTTTGCTGAACTTAAGGACCACCTTTATGTTTCTTGATGTTTATGTATCTTGTTAAAACTTAAGGATCATTTTAATGTTTGAATGACACATATCTTATGCAATTATTATAGATTTCAAATCTTAGTTAATGAATGACATTTTCATCTCATTTATCTTATTTGTATCAATTTACTTTTATATTTATGTTTTTTAGACGAAAAAATAATGAATAAACAGGTTAAATTGTTACAATTAACAAAAATGTTGCTTAAAAATGGTTGACATGTATTTGGAATTTTGCGACGGTTTTACAACCGCTTCAATATTATTGTTAAAGACTGTTACATTTTGCGGCGGTTTTCACATTGTCGCTAACTATTTCAAAATTATATTTTGCGACGGTTACAAAACTGCCGCAATTTTATCAATATAGTTTGTTTAGGGTTTTTACGACAGTTTTGAAAACCGCCACTAACTTTTACCAGATCCTTTTTTTATTTAGCAACGGTTTTAAAACTGCCGCAATTTCAATAACATATTTTGCGGCTGTTTATACGATGGTTCTGAAAACCGCCACAAATATACTTGTCAACGCTTCACATTGCAACAGTTTTAGAACCGCCGCAAGATAATTTAGTGGCAGTTAAAACCGCCGCCGGTGTAACTAAAAAACCGTCGCAAAATGAAATGTTTCTTGTAGTGTGCCTCCCACTCCTATAAATACCCTAGGCACCACACCTTGTAAATACTTTGGAAATTGAATATAAAGAGAGTATTTTTGCCTTTATATCATCCTTAGTCACCTTGGCTATTTTCGGCCACCTCCAGTCCTATCTCCACCTTGAGAGCAAAACCCTAGAAGTGGCCTTCACCTACCTTGAAGTGAGCCAAACCCTAGAGTGCCCTCTCAAACCTTTCATCAAACACCTTCTACCCAGCCTCCACGCTTCCAGTTCCGCCCATTCCTCCATTAAAAACGCCCCTTGAGGAACTTTGATCCAAGGAGTTAAAGCATCCCTTGCCATTGTTCAACATTCCTTCTTCAATGGAAGCAAGGATGCCATCATATATCTACTAAATATAATTGATGCCATCACTATTAATATTAATAACCTCGTATTGAATTACCTCATTTGTTAAGTGAGTGTGTATCTTAATGTCTGTGTTTTATTTCATGCTAAAGGTCACATGGAGATAATCATTTGCATGCGCCATTGAGATGTGATGTGAAAGTTTTTTCCTTTTTTAATGTGTTATAGATCTTGTAAACATATCCATTGCAAATTAAAAACACTTCTAGAATTTACCATTGGCGCTTACCCTATAATTTCATGACAACTAATGAAATTCAAAATCATGCCCGCTAGTTCAGAAACACAATGGGATCACTTAAAAACAACATAATCTAGCATACTCATCCAACATTAATGCACTAAGGCCAACAACAATTACAACAAAAAATACAATGGAACCACTCGCTAAAATGTTATGTCCAAAAGACTTAAGTTATCTATCCTTGGATTTCCATACGTAATAGTCTTGGTCCTTATATGATAAAGTATGCATATATGAAGTTGGAACTCAAGGAAACTCCATACATATACACTCATCCAAAAGGATAAAGTCTCTAGTATACATCATAGAAAAATGTTTCCCTTGTTGGGTTACATCTTCCCAAATATATTCTTATATACAACTCAAAACAAAACCTAATCAGTGTATATAATATATCATCACAGATTCATCTGAGTCAAAAGCCATCCACAAATGACCCCTTGTAGCCACAAACTGCAACTTTGGAAAATGTATTATTGTTCTGCTCTTATATCGAATATAATCATTGTAGCTACAATAATTGCTACAATAATGTACCTGATACTT